CCCGAAGATATATATTATGCTAATATATTCTCCTATCTCTTATATAAATTATCTGCATTACATCTATGTCGTTCTAGCTATTACGATATAATATAAAATTATGAGTAATATTTAATAATACGTTTCGCAATTACTTCCCGAAAACACATCTCACGTTTGCCATACACGTGAAACACGTGGAGATTCACTAGGCGTTTAACTAAACATCTCACACTCCTTATTTATCACTATCACATGGCATCTAATCCACGTATTCCGCTGATGACATCACAGGATCAGGGAGTCAGCATCGCTGGAAGTTGACGCACAGCGCAACGCGAAAGCTACTTAACTGTAAAATGTTCATCTGCCACACATGAATGATGATTCAATTTCCCGGGCAAGGCAATTAGATTTTTGCCTAGCATAGCGCTGTCTACGCACGCGAGCGACAACCGACGAGCATCGATATACGACGAGAGGCGGGACGGCTGAATTAGGTTACGGAGACGGGCGGAAATCACGCGCTTAGCGGTGCGCGAGATGTGTGCAGCGGAAACGTAGCAACTATTGCAGCACGTCATTATAGACTGTGATTAAAAGTGTATAGTGCGTCGCATATTTCTCTTTCTGAAATTAATGTTTCTGTGCTCGAATAATGCTATAATCCGTGATGATGATGACGACGATGACAACGACGACGGCGATGATGATGATGATGATGATGATGATGATAAGCAATAACAAATAATATATAATTAATAATGATATATATAATATATATAATAATAATAATAATAATAATAATAATCAACACAAACAATAACAGAAAAACAAAGAGCAGACACAGAAATGGCGATGGCTTAAATTATGTTTTGCTAGAAGGACAAATGGCTGGCAATATATATATATATATATATATATATGTATATAATATATGTATCTTCTCTCTGTCTGCATTGTCTGTCTCTCTACTCTCTTTCTCTCTCTTCTCTTATTCCTCGCGTCTCGCTCTCGTCCCTTCTCTCTCTCTCTCTCTTCTCTGAGCTCTCTCCTCGTCTGCCTCAATCTCTCTCTCTTTCTCTCTCTGCCGCTCGCGGCTCTCCTCTCTGCTCACCTCTCATCTTTCTCTCTCTCTCTCTCTGCTCTCTTTCTCATCCTCTCTCTCTCTCGCTGCGCCTCGCTCGATCTCTCTCTCTCTGCTCTCTCTCTCTCACTCTATCCTCTCTCCTCTCTCTCCCTCTATCTATGCTCTCTCGTCTTCTGCTCGGCTTCCTTTTGATTTTCTTCTCTCGTTAACGCGCTATATCACCTATCCACGACTGACGTTGTATTACGGAGCAGGCAAGTCCGCACGGGACGCGTGGAATCAAGGCGTCTGCCGTAATACTGCGACGTTGCTGTGGCCGTGCAGTCTCTGACAACTGCACCGGGAGAATGGGCAGGACGACAGCGAATCACATGAGCATGTTTTCATGCGCGGAAAGACGGACATTCGCGAGGCGATACCCGCGCACGACGTGAGACGAAGATTGTCCTCGCGTGCTCTGACGACAATGTATAAATGTTATCGTACAATCTGTTATATGCGCGCATGCGGGAGCGCAACGACACGATGGAGAGCTCGTATCAGGAATGATGACGCAGGACAGGAAGTCAGAAAAGAAACTGTAGTTTTGGCGGGTAGTTATGTTATCTGAATTGCTATTATCTATCTGATCTATCTAATCTATCTATCTATACTTTCTATCTATCTATCTATGCTATCTAAAATCTATCTATCTATCTATCTATCTATCTATCTATCTATCTATCTATCTATCCTATTCTATCTATCTATCATCTATCTATCTATGCTATTCTGATCTATCTATCTTACATTTAAATCTACTCTATCTATCCTATCTATCTATCTATCTATCTAAATCTATTCTATCTATCGTATCTATCTATCAATTATGGCTATCTATGCTATCTATCTATCTATCTATCTATCTATTTCTATCTATCTATCTAATTCTAGCTATCTATCTATCTATCTATCTATCAATCGATCTATGCTATCTATCTATCTATCTATCTATCATCTATTCTATCTATCTATCTATCTATCTTTTATCTATCTACTATCTCATCGCTATCTATCCATCTCTATCTAGTCTGTGTGTGTGTGTGTGTGCTGTTGTTGTTGTGTGTGCGTGTGTGGTGTGTTGTGTGTGTGTGTGTGCGTGCGTGCGTGCGTGCGTGCGTGCGTGCGTGTGTGTGTGTGGGGGGGGGTACCACGTAGTGAACATTAACTATTATTTACAAACCCAGTAAGTATACAGGACTAGCTTTATATTGTGGCGAAAAGCAAAAGGACAACGACTCATGTGTCCATCTACGCCGATGCGAGTTAGCAACATTTCATCAATCACTTCTTCATCCCTAATAAATAGAGCGACTCTGTTCACTAGCAGTATTGGCTGTGTGCTACTACACCGCTATAGATTTTTCAGACATTCTGTTTACTAATTCCAATCAACTCCGATGGCCGCATTGAATCCTATATCGAACCGAGCCGTCATCGTTACCTTGGCCCAACTACGCCCAGGCCTTGCAGCATCTCAACCCTCTTATTCTATCTAACGTTCCTTAATTCTCTCGACCTGCGATCTGCTCACGTAGACTGCTATAATCAGCGAATTTGCACGCAGATCAGTATCTAATCTAGGCATAGGAGCCTCACCAGACTAAACTTACGTCACGTACCACAGGATTGAATAGCGACTGTAGAACTGGTGGCGGATGAATATCGAATTCAAATTGAATGACAAAGAAATATTAAACTTTCTCTCACAGCGCGGGGTGTTGTATTATGTACGGCTAGTGGCTCGTGAGATTGCTCAAGCGTGTTTGTTGGCGTCCGTTACTAAGTGCGTATGTTAAATGATGTATGTTATATGACGAAGGTTTTTTTGACTGTGAGGCTAAAGCGTCCAGTTCGGAAAAATCTAGTGAACTTGCAGAATTTTTTATGGCGCGTGATTGATGGTCAGAGTTGTGAGTGTTTATGTTTTACTCGTCATCGTGTGGTTTTTGTATATTATGGTACGATAGCTTGCGTCTGTTATCCACGAATAGCGATGTAGGTTATTTCGAAGATCGATGGCACGTAAACAACCGGTTCATGTGCCACTCTGGCTAAACATTTACTGTCTGTCTTTAATAGAATGAAGTGTACGATTACAAGTGTTATATACGGCTATTAAGACATAGCGCTTGACTAGACCATCAGTTATGAGTTAATTTGCTGCTAAATTAATTAATTAGTTTAATTAGGAAGCCGATACGATGATAGCGATAATATACGTAGCAATTATAAATTATGACAAGCGCTGCGAGTAGCCTCCTGAATGATGATCGTATCACGCGTGATTTCCTGTATTACATGCTTGCAATTCCGCTAGGTATGGTCGCGCGTGGTGGTAGTGTCAGCTCATTAACGGGAGCCTGCCTTCTGTAAACGGCGAGAGGAGGAAATGACGAACGCTTGCAATTTTACCGACATATTCCGGTCAATGAAGGAACGACATTCACAGTGACAGTTAAAGCTGCACCATCAACGCAGCAAACAGCCAAACCAAGCATTGTGCTCATGAGTTATCATTCCTCGGAGAATGTCGATTTAAACAGGAAAAATAGATCCCTCTCGCTCTCTCTCTTCTAAGTTTTACCTCGCGGACTGCATAATCGCGTGTTTCATGTTGTCAGTGGTACACGCAGACTCGCTTCGTTTGTATTACGCACTCTCATTTCATCGCTGCGACGTTAAATCAGTCTAGCAGCAAACACGATTTGTGATACATGATGCAAATGAGAAGGCGCCATTGCAGAGAAAAAGAGATTTTGACATTGTTACATACGAGAGAACCAAAAATTATGGCCACAATGATTAGGTAAGCTACGCATACGTGGTGATAACGCAGTTTTAAGTCGGAATTTTAAAAATACGAAATTTCCGAAAACACACGAGCGGGGGATTTAAACTAATAAGAAACTCGGATGAAGTAAATGAAATTCGCAGCCGAATTAAACCACATATAGCGAATCATCAAACAATAGAACAACATGACGCGCCAGCGGTTGTCATAAACTAACACATCGCGCGGGGATATCACGTGATCTGACTGTTCCGACAAACTCATTCTAACTCTAACCCCCCAACCATAACCATCTCCTTAATACAGCCCTGTTCTATTTCCTAACATTCTTATTCTGTTCTATGGCATCCGGGGGGGGGGGACACGAGACACGTCATCACGCGACATCCAGTCGCGATACGGAATTTCCTGATAACCAACATCGATTTCGTGGTGGCCCACTGCATCCTAGCGGCCAAGGTGCTTCATGGAGGCGTGTTGCGGGCTAGCTTGTCGCCATCGGTGGAGTTGACTGTGTCCTGTCGCTGCATGACGGTGCGTCGATGAGCTTCGGCCATCTGCTGGTTCTGTAGCTCTGATCCTTCGTGCAGAGTTCGCCACACCTGCGACACGGGCACAGTCGAGGCAGTTAGACACACGTGCAATATGATGCTTAATTAGCGCTATCGCTATGCACGTATATATATATGTTCCTCGATGCCAATATTAAACGTGTTGCCTGGTTTTTGTTGCACTTTAGGATCATGGCATGGACAAGCGTCTCGACTCGCTCTCCGGTTTCGGTCTCGGCGAACACAAGCGACAGAATCTCGACCTGTACTCCGGAAGCCTGCTCGGAGGACAGAAGCGGCTCGACTCGCTCTCCGGATTCGGACTGGGCTCACAAAAACGGCTCGATTCTCTATCCGGATTCGGACTCGGACACGATAAACGCTCAGGAGACCTTGACTCACTTCTCGGGAAGACGTTCGGTTCAGATAAGAGCGCGCGCGAATTGAACAAGCTGGCCCTACTCGGACGCATGCACAAGAGATTCGACCCGATCGAACAGGCCGGATTTGGCTCCTTTGCAAAGAGATTCGACCCCATTGAACAGGCTGGATTTGGCTCCTTCGCCAAGAGATTCGACCCCATTGAACAAGCCGGATTTGGATCTTTCGCGAAGAGGTTCGACCCAATTGAGCAGGCCGGGTTCGGTTCATTTGCAAAACGCTTTGATCCCATTGAACAGGCCGGGTTCGGTTCGTTTGCCAAGAGAAAACGGGAAGCTATCAAATCTATGTAAAGAACGGTTTAGGTGACGTAAGAAAGATGATTATAGATCTCTATCCTTGCGGACTTGACCGTCAGCAGGATGAGATTGGCCGCGAAATGTTGTTCTGAATCAAATCACTAGCGTTTCACTTAACATCAGCTGGCGATCAAAGTGTTCTCGCTGAAGACGCCCGCAACGCCCTCTATTTTTAGCGATGTCATCGGTAGCCATTCTCTCTCAAAGTTGTACGCTAATCATAATAAATCATCGCCCGTTAAAACTACCGTTAAAATATCGTTGTTTATCTCTTCATCGATGAATTCCATCGCACTGTGTGTCGGTACACAACACAGCACCGCGGTGACGAGACCAATAGCATCATCAAGCGACATCCATGATGTTTCGAACGCGGTAGTCGGTCCTGCCAGTAGCCGCGGTGAGAGAAGAAACGACAAGAAGCCAGTTTTAGAAACAAAAATTAGTCAACGGTAAGGTGATCGCTCGACCTTCTCTCTTCGTAAACGGGATATGCCTATCGTATGCTCACGCTCGCTCATACCTGCATGTCATTAGCGACATGTATAGTGGAGTACTATCCCCTAACAATGCATGCATTGCAGCGTGAACGATAGAAATATACATCTAATTAACCGCTAGTGGCTACGATCCTTTCCGTCGCTCCCGCCCATCGCCACCGCTGTCAAAAGCAAACAGACGCCGGCCTCTCTCGCGCCGTTTCTCTCATTTACCTTGCCGGTTAATTAGAGCAAGTATGTACAAAATACTAGCAGGGTGTCGATCGCGCAAACACCCCGTGGCAGTGTGGGCGTCAGAACGCAGCCACAGCCCACGCAGACACACACCTGCCCGTGACCTCAATGACCTCCGAATAATAGTATTAGGCATATTTAAAAATTCGACCAGTGAACACTGAATAGTTTTTCTTCCGCAATGTGTCGCTTATGCAAATGAACTGTCTAACAATTCTCGTTAATCAATGACCCCGCCCTATAAAAGCTGGGACGGGAATGTTAGGCAATATAGTCGTCATAAAATCGTACTACGTGTCAGCTAGAAAGTGGCAATTACCATGTAAAACTTTGCCATTTGGATGTTTGTCTCCGATTTTTTTACTCTCAAATGAATCTCCCTTGGGCACAATATAATAGGAGGTATAATGTATGATCTCCATGTGTACGGCAGCCTGGAATTGCCTGCAGGAGACTATACTTACTTATACGGTAGTAGTTTTTAAAATGGCCGCGCAAATTCCCGTATGTTGAGATTTAATCCGGTTATATTACCGACAAAGAACCGCGTGAAGAAAAGCGCTTAATCGGCGTATGGTATCAGAATCTCTCTCACGTGTCTAAAACGAAAAGGAAATGTGTACTCGGTAGAATTAAAAGCAGGTCTGCTGCAATAGCTTCCATTCGAACATGGTAACGTCCTTTGCTACACGTGTATTGGTAACCGCGTGAACTAACAATAGTTTCATTATTGTTAATTCTTATGCAATAGGTGCATGCATGACTTGTACACATGATCGACGTAGGTTACAATCGTCACTCGTTCTACGGATGTCCACCGAACTACGTTTCTCTCGTGTCAGTTTCGGTAATATTCAGCGAGAAGAGAACTGAATTTGAATTGCGAAGTATGCCCCGCGCATTGCGATGATATCTTGCGATGATCAGAGAACGCAGTGGTACGTAGCGACCCAGCCTGTACATAACAGGAAGTAGCAACCCCTTGTTACCTCTATTACGTAGTAGGGGTTGAAGTGATCATATTCATGAAACGTCATAATAATAATAACGTGGCTTCACGATGTTTGGAAATAAAACCAAGTTAAAACTAACACTGGCGCTGGTTTTTGTTAGTTGGTCTATCGTGTATCGTATTGCTGTAGATATGAGCTTAGCAATGTGACGGCTTGTTTACTCTTATGAAAGAAGCCATCTTACGTGGCAACACGCGACGAAAATATAACAATGCAGGAAATGATACCGAACAAATTTAGAACACATTTAATGAGTACACTCACACTGATAATGACACTAAATGCTATTATACTGTTACTGCAACCATTGCGATTATAACAATGTTTAAAGATATATATATACATATATAT